GTGGTCTTCACTGCTGCAACAAATGTCATGCCGGTAACAACAACAACAACCACTATCACCACAACAACAACAACCACCACCACCACAACCACAACAACAACAACCACCACAACAACAACCATCACAACAACAACAACAACCATCACAACAACAACAACAGAGTTCATGAGTGGTCTACACTGCTGCAACAAATGTCATGCCGGTAACAACAACAACAACCACTATCACCACAACAACAACAACCACCACCACCACAACCACAACAACAACAACCACCACAACAACAACCATCACAACAACAACAACAACCATCACAACAACAACAACAGAGTTCATGAGTGGTCTACACTGCTGCAACAAATGTCATGCCGGTAACAACAACAACCACAACAACAACCACAACCACAACAACAACTACAACAACAACAACCACAACAACAACAACAACCACAACAACAACCACAACAACAACAACAGAGTTCATGAGTGGTCTTCACTGCTGCAACAAATGTCATGCCGGTAACTACAACAACAACAACAACCACAACCACAACAACAACAACTACAACAACAACAACCACAACAACAACAACAACCACAACAACAACCACAACAACAACAACAGAGTTCATGAGTGGTCTTCACTGCTGTAACAAATGTCATGCCGGTAACAACAACAACAACCACAACAACAACAACAACAACCACAACAACAACAATAACAACAACCACAACAATAACAACAACAACAACAGAGTTCATGAGTGGTCTTCACTGCTGCAACAAATGTCATGCCGGTAACTACAACAACAACAACCACAACAACAACAACCATCACAACAACAACAACCACCATCACAACAACCACCACAACCACCACAACAACAACAACAACAGAGTTCATGAGTGGTCTTCACTGCTGCAACAAATGTCATGCCGGTAACTACAACAACAACAACCACAACAACAACAACCATCACAACAACAACAACAACAGAGTTCATGAGTGGTCTTCACTGCTGTAACAAATGTCATGCCGGTAACAACAACAACAACCACAACAACAACAACCACCATCACCACAACAACAACAACCATCACAACAACCACCACAACAACAACCATCACCACAACAACAACAACAGAGTTCATGAGTGGTCTTCACTGCTGCAACAAATGTCATGCCGGTAACAACAACAACAACCACCATCACCACAACAACAACAACCATCACAACAACCACAACAACAACCACCACAACAACAACAACAACAGAGTTCATGAGTGGTCTACACTGCTGCAACAAATGTCATGCCGGTAACTACAACAACAACCACCATCACCACAACAACAACAACAACCATCACAACAACAACAACAACCATCACAACAACAACCACAACAACAACAACTACAACAACAGAGTTCATGAGTGGTCTACACTGCTGCAACAAATGTCATGCCGGTAACTACAACAACAACCACCATCACCACAACAACAACAACAACCATCACAACAACAACAACAGAGTTCATGAGTGGTCTTCACTGCTGCAACAAATGTCATGCCGGTAACAACAACAATAACCACTATCACCACAACAACAACAACCACAACAACAACAACAACCACAACAACAACAACCACCACAACAACCACCATCACCACAACAACTACAACAACCATCACAACAACAACAACAGAGTTCATGAGTGGTCTTCACTGCTGCAACAAATGTCATGCCGGTAACAACAACAACAACCACTATCACCACAACAACAACAACCACCACCACCACAACCACAACAACAACAACCACCACAACAACAACCATCACCACAACAACAACAACCATCACAACAACAACAACAGAGTTCATGAGTGGTCTACACTGCTGCAACAAATGTCATGCCGGTAACAACAACAACAACCACTATCACCACAACAACAACAACCACCACCACCACAACCACAACAACAACAACCACCACAACAACAACCATCACAACAACAACAACAACCATCACAACAACAACAACAGAGTTCATGAGTGGTCTACACTGCTGCAACAAATGTCATGCCGGTAACAACAACAACCACAACAACAACCACAACCACAACAACAACTACAACAACAACAACCACAACAACAACAACAACCACAACAACAACCACAACAACAACAACAGAGTTCATGAGTGGTCTTCACTGCTGCAACAAATGTCATGCCGGTAACTACAACAACAACAACAACCACAACCACAACAACAACAACTACAACAACAACAACCACAACAACAACAACAACCACAACAACAACCACAACAACAACAACAGAGTTCATGAGTGGTCTTCACTGCTGTAACAAATGTCATGCCGGTAACAACAACAACAACCACAACAACAACAACAACAACCACAACAACAACAATAACAACAACCACAACAATAACAACAACAACAACAGAGTTCATGAGTGGTCTTCACTGCTGCAACAAATGTCATGCCGGTAACTACAACAACAACAACCACAACAACAACAACCATCACAACAACAACAACCACCATCACAACAACCACCACAACCACCACAACAACAACAACAACAGAGTTCATGAGTGGTCTTCACTGCTGCAACAAATGTCATGCCGGTAACTACAACAACAACAACCACAACAACAACAACCATCACAACAACAACAACAACAGAGTTCATGAGTGGTCTTCACTGCTGTAACAAATGTCATGCCGGTAACAACAACAACAACCACAACAACAACAACCACCATCACCACAACAACAACAACCATCACAACAACCACCACAACAACAACCATCACCACAACAACAACAACAGAGTTCATGAGTGGTCTTCACTGCTGCAACAAATGTCATGCCGGTAACAACCACAACAACCACAACAATAACAACAACCACAACAACAACAACAGAGTTCATGAGTGGTCTTCACTGCTGTAACAAATGTCATGCCGGTAACAACAACAATAACAACCACAACAACTACAACAACAACCATCACAACAACAACAACAACCACCATCACAACAACCACAACAACAACAACCACCATCACAACAACAACAGAGTTCATGAGTGGTCTTCACTGCTGCAACAAATGTCATGCCGGTAACAACAACAATAACAACCACAACAACTACAACAACAACCATCACAACAACAACAACAACCACCATCACAACAACCACAACAACAACAACCACCATCACAACAACAACAGAGTTCATGAGTGGTCTTCACTGCTGTAACAAATGTCATGCCGGTAACTACAACAACAACAACAACTACAACAACAACAACCATCACAACAACCACCACAACAACCACCACAACAACAACAACAACAGAGTTCATGAGTGGTCTTCACTGCTGTAACAAATGTCATGCCGGTAACTACAACAACAACCACAACAACAACAACAACAACCACAACAACAACAATAACAACAACCACAACAATAACAACAACAACAACAGAGTTCATGAGTGGTCTTCACTGCTGCAACAAATGTCATGCCGGTAACTACAACAACAACAACCACTATCACCACAACAACAACAACAACAACAGAGTTCATGAGTGGTCTACACTGCTGTAACAAATGTCATGCCGGTAACTACAACAACAACTACAACAACAACAACAACCATCACTACCACCACAACAACAACAACCACCATCACAACAACAACAACAGAGTTCATGAGTGGTCTTCACTGCTGTAACAAATGTCATGCCGGTAACTACAACAACAACAACCACAACAACAACCACTATCATCACAACAACAACAACAACCACAACAACAACAACAACCACAACAACAACAACAACCACAACAACAACAACAGAGTTCATGAGTGGTCTTCACTGCTGTAACAAATGTCATGCCGGTAACAACAACAACAACAACAACCACTATCACAACAACCATCACTACCACCACAACAACAACAACAACAACCACAACAACAACAACCACAACAACAACAACAACCACAACAACAACAGAGTTCATGAGTGGTCTTCACTGCTGCAACAAATGTCATGCCGGTAACTACAACAACAACAACAACCACTATCACAACAACCATCACTACCACCACAACAACAACAACCACCACCACAACCACAACAACAACCACAACAACAACAACCACCATCACAACAACAACAGAGTTCATGAGTGGTCTACACTGCTGCAACAAATGTCATGCCGGTAACAACAACAACAACAACAACCACAACCACTATCACAACAACAACAACCACTATCACCACAACAACAACAACCACTATCACCACAACAACAACAACAACCACTATCACCACAACAACAACAACCATCACAACAATAACAACCATCACAACAACCACCACAACAACAACCATCACAACAACAACAACAACAGAGTTCATGAGTGGTCTTCACTGCTGCAACAAATGTCATGCCGGTAACAACAACAACAATAACAACAACAACAACCACAACAACAACAACCATCACAACAACCACAACAACAACCACAACAACAACCATCACAACAACAACAGAGTTCATGAGTGGTCTACACTGCTGCAACAAATGTCATGCCGGTAACAACAACCACAACAACCATCACAACAACAACCACAACCACTATCACCACAACAACAACAACCACCACCACCACAACCACAACAACAACAACCACCACAACAACAACCACAACAACAACAACAGAGTTCATGAGTGGTCTTCACTGCTGTAACAAATGTCATGCCGGTAACAACAACAACCACAACAATAACAACAACCATCACTACCACCACAACAACAACAACCATCACAACAACCACAACAACAACCACCACAACAACAACAACAACCACAACAACAACAACAACCACAACCATCACAACAACAACCACAACAACAACAACCACAACAACAACCACAACAACAACAACCACAACAACAACCATCACAACAACCACCATCACAACAACAACCATCACAACAACAACAACAACAGAGTTCATGAGTGGTCTTCACTGCTGCAACAAATGTCATGCCGGTAACAACAACAACAACCACAACAACAACAACCACAACAACAACCATCACAACAACCACCATCACCACAACAACAACCACAACAACAACAACAGAGTTCATGAGTGGTCTACACTGCTGCAACAAATGTCATGCCGGTAACAACAACAACAACAACAACAATCACAACAACAACCATCACTACCACCACAACAACAACAACCATCACAACAACAACAACCATCACAACAACAACAACCACAACAACAACAACAGAGTTCATGAGTGGTCTTCACTGCTGCAACAAATGTCATGCCGGTAACAACAACAACCATCACAACAACAACCATCACTACCACCACAACAACAACAACCATCACAACAACAACAACCATCACAACAACAACAACCACAACAACAACAACAGAGTTCATGAGTGGTCTTCACTGCTGCAACAAATGTCATGCCGGTAACAACAACAACAACCACTATCACAACAACAACAACCACCACCACCACAACAACAACAACCATCACAACAACCACAACAACAACCACCACAACAACAACAACAACAGAGTTCATGAGTGGTCTACACTGCTGCAACAAATGTCATGCCGGTAACAACAACAACAACTACAACAACAACAACCACAACAACAACAACAACCACCATCACAACAACAACAACAACCATCACAACAACAACAACCACAACAACAACCACAACAACAACAACAGAGTTCATGAGTGGTCTTCACTGCTGCAACAAATGTCATGCCGGTAACAACAACAACAATCACAACAACAACCATCACTACCACCACAACAACAACAACCACCACAACAACAACAACCATCACAACAACAACAACCACAACAACAACAACAACAACCACAACAACTACAACAGAGTTCATGAGCGGTCTTCACTGCTGCAACAAATGTCATGCCGGTAACAACCACAACAACAACAACAACCACAACAACTACAACAACCACCATCACAACAACCACAACAACCACAACAACAACAACAACAACCATCACTACCACCACAACAACAACAACCATCACAACAACAACAACAACAACCACTATCACCACAACAACAACAACAACCACTATCACCACAACAACAACCACAACAACCACAACAACAACCAACACAACCATAACAACAACAACAGAGTTCATGAGCGGTCTACACTGCTGCAACAAATGTCATGCCGGTAACAACAACAACCACAACAATAACAACAACAACCACCATCACAACAACCACAACAACAACCACAACAACAACCACCACCACAACCACTCTAACTTCAACCACAGCCATCACTTTGAGTGATATGTGAGCAATTGGTGAGTGGGTGAGTGAGTGACTGAGTGAGTGTATGAGTGAGTGAGTGAGTGGGTGAGTGAGTGAGTGGGTGTATGAGAGAGTGAGTGAGTGAGTGGGTGAGTGAGTGAGTGGGTGAGTTAGTGGATGAATGATTGGGTGAGTGAGTGATTGAGTGAGTGGGTGAGTGAGTGGGTGAGTTAGTGAATGAGTGAGTGATTGGGTGAGTGAGTGAGTGAGTGGGTGAGTGAGTGATTGGGTGAGTGAGTGGGTGAGTGAGTGGATCGGTGGGTGAGTGAGTGGGTGACTGGGTGAGTGAGTGGGTGAGTTAGTGGATGAGTGAGTGATTGGTTGAGTGAGTGAGTGTGTGAGTGAGTGGGTGAGTGAGTGGGTGGGTGAGTGAGTGAGTGATGGGGTGAGTGGGTGAGTGAGTGGGGAAATGAGTGGGTGAGTGAGTGGATCGGTGGGTGAGTGAGTGGGTGAGTGAGTGGGTGAGTGAGTGGGTGAGTTAGTGGATGAGTGAGTGGATGAGTGAGTGATTGAGTGAGTGAGTGGGTGACTGAGTGAGTGGGTGAGTGAGTGGGTGAGTGAGTGAGTGGGTGGGTGGGTGAGTGAGTGAGTGGGTGAGTGATGGGGTGAGTGGGTGAGTGAGTGAGTGTATGAGTGAGTGGGTGAGTGAGTGAGTGGGTGAGTGATGGGGTGAGTGAGTGAGTGAATGGGTGAGTTAATGGGTGAGTGAGTGAGTGGGTGGGTGAGTGAGTGAGTGGGTGAGTTAGTGGGTGAATGATTTGGTGAGTGAGTGAATGGGTGAGTGTATGAGAGAGTGAGTGGGTGAGTGAGTGGGTGAGTTAGTGGGTGAGTGAGTATTGTCACGATTAGCTCTACGCTGCACTACAAACCTGACGATCCGAGTTCAATTCCTACTCACAGCCAACACCAGTGACGATTATACTCGCTACTGACAGCACTTGCCCCTACAGCCTGCTAGAGGCTACACGGGGGATCTTTGTCTGTGTGTAGGTGCTACTGACAGCACTTGCCCCTACAGCCTGCTAGAGGCTACACGGGGGATCTTTGTCTGTGTGTAGGTGCTACTGACAGCACTTTCCCCTACAGCCTGCTAGATGCTACCTGGGGGATCTTTGTCTGTGTGTGTAGGTGCTGCTGACAGCACTTGCCCCTACAGCCTGCTAGAGGCTACCTGGGGGATCTTTGTCTGTGTGTAGGTGCTACTGACAGCACTTGCCCCTATAGCCTGCTAGAGGCTACACGGGGGATCTTTGTCTGTGTAGGTGCTACTGACAGCACTTGCCCCTACAGCCTGCTAGAGGCTACACGGGGGATCTTTGTCTGTGTGTAGGTGCTACTAACAGCACTTGCCCCTACAGCCTGCTAGAGGCTACATGGGGGATCTTTGTCTGTGTGTAGGTGCTACTGACAGCACTTGCCCCTACAGCGTGCTAGAGGCTACATTGGGGATCTTTGTCTTTATCTGTGT